CCTCCGCCAGCCAGTGGCTGGAGGCCTGTGCCGGCCCAGCATGCCCTCTCCGCAGCTGCACCTGAGACCCACGACCCCTCGTGCTCTCAGCTCGGCCCAGGTGTCCATGGTCCTGGAGGCCCAGACATGAAGGTCAGGCGGCAGAGCCCTCCCCTGCGCCCCACCTCCCACAGGACGACGGAAGAGGGGCACGAGGTTGCAATGCACCTTCCCAAACTCACAGGGAGGAGATTACTGCAGATTTGGAAATAAACAAAGCTTTGTCTCAACTCAGGATAGCGGCTTAATTCTACTCCAACAAGTTACCTCTCTACCTGCAGAACTTATGTCACAAGACACTTCCTCCAAGAGGCCTTCCAGGATCCCTACTCGATTTTGACTGTGGACTTTTCTGAGTGCTCTCACTGCTCCTCTGGCTCTAAGAGTCCAATCATGGGTCTGTCTCCTCCCTGGACTAGCTCCGTCCTCCAGCCCTGGCCCTATACACCCAACACACGCATGCAGGCTCTCCGGGCCTAAGCTCAGGTTTCCTTGCCAAATCAGCGAATGAACCAACCCAACCACCCATCCGTTCCCACAGGCCCCACAGTGCCCTGGGGCTCAGGGGTGGGGGCCGTGCCAGTCAGGGTTTTCAGCTGTTCTATGGGCCGGGGCCAGCCCTGCTCAGCTCTGTGCCAGCCTGGGCCGTGAGGGGGGCCACGAGGTTGGCTCTCAAGGCTTACCATGGGGAGGCAGAACAGCCCCTTGCCCCACCCCGGCATTCCCAGCTGGGGGTGAGGGAGGGACAGATGGATGGGGCAAGATGACACCCCAAGTGTTGTGAACGGGTCCCCAGCCTCATCCCAAGCCTTGCTTTAGGACAGAGACGTGAGCTGTCACCGGAGTGGAGAGAGGGACTGCTCTCCAGGACGGAGGGGGGAGGGTCCACGCTCCAGGATAGAGGGGGGAGGGTCAGCGCTCCAGGACGAGGGAGGAGTATCCATTCTCCAGGACAGATGGGGGAGGGTCTGCGCTCCAGGATGGTGGGGGGAGGGAACGCGCTCCAGGACAGAGGGGGGAGGGTCTGCGCTCCAGGACGGAATGGGGAGGGTCCGCGCTCCAGGACCGAGGGGGAGAGCCTGTGCTCCAGGCCTGTTAGGAGGCACCGGCCCACAATCCCTGAGCCACCGGCCCACAATCCCTGAGCCACACGCTGCGCCTGTGGGTGGAGGTGTCTGGACTTCTCTCTAGAGGGGACACTGCAGTGCTACTCCAGGAGTGCGGGGCGGAAAGTTGGCAGAGGGGAAGGCTGGCAGCCACAGATTAGAGGAGGCCTAAGGGAACCCTGTCAGAGGCAGCCACGCCATCTGTGTGCCACACCCGTGCCATTTAGGAAGCACCTGCTTTTCAGCCCACAGAGCCCCTGGCGCCACCACGGTGGCTGTCCACTCTGCAGCCTGAGAACAAGCACAGCGCGAGCCCGGCTCCAGCCCCCAACCCCCTGCCACCCTCTGCCCTGGTCGAGGGCGCCGACATGGTGATGGGCAGCCCCCGACGGCAGGCCCAGCCTTCCCTCAGACTAGGGACAGACAGGCTGTGGGAAGGACATCCGTGAGCTCCGGCAATGTCCTCCTCGCCATCACAGGCCGGCAACGGTCGGACAGACGTGACGGCACAGCTCGCCTCCTCTGCCTCTCGAGACGCTGTCCGGGGGAGGCAGCCCCCACTGCCCTGCCCACCAGCTCACTGCAGGGGTGCCACCCCCCAAACGTGGAGAGAGCAGCAGGCGGCAAAGCTGCTGTCGAGAATTCTGACGTGGGGAACTGAGGCGAGACCGGCTGCTTCCCCGCTGCTCCGTGAGACGCCCGAAGGCGCAGGAGGCCACTCACACCACGCTGGGCAGGCAGGAGTGATGAAAAGGACTGGAGCTGGAGGGCAAGGTCACCCAGTGCAGGACGGCGAGCGGCCGGTGGAGGAGGCCTCACCAGGCCCCAGCTTCGGGCAGATTCCAGTACTGTCTCACCCAGCTCAGAATCCTTTCCCACGAACACCTCGGGCCAGTCCCTCGGCACAGTGGTTAAGCCCTGTGCATTGGGAGTCGGGTCCCACAGGGCCAGCCTTGGTTCAAATCCCAGCCCCAGCAGCTTGAAAAACACAGGGTGCAGGTGCGTGTGTGCCCCAAATCCCGAAGGACTGAGATGGGCTGTGGTGTGACCGTCCCCCTGAGGGGCTTTCTCTCTCCCCAAGCACTCGTGCCATCTGGCTTCAAAACACAACAAAACAAACCACCTCTGGGTAGCCCCCGCCCCCTGGCTCCTGGAGTGCACCGAGCGAACCCACAGAGCGTCATCATATACGGGAGCCGGGGCCATGGTGCCCAAGAGCTCGCGGCTGTGAGAGTACCCGGCCCTGCGGCTCCCGCTCCGGTGACACGCCGGGACGTGCGGAGCCGGCGGTCAGCCCTGAGGGCTGCTCAGGAAGGGCGAGCCGCCATCACCGACGTGGGTGGAGGAGCCCCCAGCCCATCATGAGCCCAGACAAGGGCGGGGTATTTGAAGGAGGGAGAGAAGAGTGAGGGCTGGCATGGCGGAGATGCTCCCGGACAGGTAAGAGACCGGAAACCGGCAACGGCTGGGTCCTGGCTGGGGCCCCTCCCAGTCTCCTTTGCCAGCCCATTTCTAAGCCTGAGCTGACTCATGCCGCCTGCGTCCACAGAGCACCTGCGGCATCTCGGTGTGCTGAGAAACGCCACCCACGGCTTTCTGCATTTACAGAATTTCTGAATTTCTAAGATTTACAAAGATCAACGCGTACCCTTGGCCGAGCTGACCGACAAATGGGTGCACCTGTAACTCACACCCCTACCACACTGTGAAACACTGCCCTTCCCCAGTAGCCACCCGCGGCTGTCCTTCAGAGATGCATTCTGCCTGGTGGGGACCGTCCTGGGCATCGTGTGAAGTGTGTGCTGCAAGCCTGGCTTCTCACAGCTAAGACCCCCTGCTCATGCTCTGGCTGCACTGACAGCTCGTTCCTCTCCCAGCTGAGTACGGACCCACACATGAACACACATTCTTCACCCATTCTCCTCCATGACGGACACTTGGGCTGCTTCCAAGTTTTGGTCACTGTAAACAAAGGCTGTGCGATGAGCATTCAAGGCGTGCACGCGCATGTGTGTGTGTGACCACGCGTGTGCACTTTCATTTCCTTTGAAAATGAAATTCCCCTGGCACCGGGATTGCTGGGTCAGAGAACACATGTTTCGCTTCCTAAGCCACTGCTGGCGCTTTTCCAAAGTGGGTGCAGCTTTCTCTGTCCCCCCAGAATGCGTGCAAGCTCTAGCTGCTCCACATCGTCTCCAGCTCTTGCTGCTGCTGGTCTTTTTTCATGTCAAAGAGCATGTGCATGCGCACGAGAGTGCCCAGGGAGAGACACAGAAGGAGAGAAAGGGTGTGTGTGCTCCGCCTCCAACATGGCCTTGTCATGCCCCGATCCTTTTTCCTCCAATTCTCCATCCCATCTGGATCCTGAGCACACACGTGCATGCCCAGCTTGTGAGCCATCCGGGCCAGAGCGAGGGCCAGGACTCGAACCTTGGCTGGCGACCTGAGATGCAGCTTCCTCTGCAAAGCACTTAACCACTGCACTACAGGGCCAGCCTTGCTGTGTCTCCTTCAGTATTTTCCTGGTGACTAAGGGTACTGGAGACTTCCCATTTACTTATGTATGAATTCTTCCATACCCTCCATTGTGAAAGGCCTCCTTGAGAAGTTCACCCATTTCTAAAAACTCTTTTCCTTATGGAATTCTAGGAGTTCTTTAGGGATACAAGTCCTTTGTCAGATGCGCTTTGTGACCTTCCCTTCCAGCCTCTAGCTTGGCTATTCATTTTCTTAATGATGTTTGAGATACATTCATTTGTAATTGAATGAAGCCCAATTTATCAACTTTTTCTCCTGTGATATCCTGACTCTGTCCTATGTCCTAAGAAATCCTTGGGTCTTATGGTTTTTTTTGGAGAGGCTTTTGCTATAGGGCTCGTGTGCTCGCCAGAAAGACAGAGAGAGACAGAGAGACAGAAAGCGAGAAATCACCCCCAGGGGGGATGACCACACCACAATCCCTTCTCCTCGTGGGGTCTTGGGCACGCACGCACACATGCCTGGCATGAGTTTAAGCCACCAGGTCTGGGACTTGAACTGTGGTCGACTACATGGAGTCCAGTGACATAGCCATTACGCCAACTTCCGGTCCCTTATCTTTTTTTTTTTTTTAAGAATTATTTTATTTAACTTTATTTATCCATTTATTTATTTATTCATTTATTTTTAAATTTGACCAGAAAGGGACAGAATGACAGAGAGTTAGAAAGTGAAAAAGCAAGACGCCAGGTCCAGGACTCAAATAGCGGATGGCCATGTGGGAGTCCAGCACCCTTAACTGCCGCGCAACCTGCTGGATCCTCCTTTGGTCTTATCTAAGAAATCTTTGCTTCCTTCCAAGTCAAAGGAGTTTTCTGTTGTATTTTCTTTTAAAAGCTGCATAGTTGCAGTATTTATGTTTAGGTCTCTGACCTGCCTCAAATTTATTGTCACGTATGGTATGAAGAAGGAGTTCGTTTTATTCCCTTAGGAATATCCAAAACAACTTTCTTCCATAGGATTGCTTGGATCTCTAACTGACCATATCGGGTCTTTTTGGGAA